TTTTTTTTTTTTTTCTAACAGCTCGAACTCTTCTATTAGCATGGAAAAGAATTTATCGCGAAGCAAAGACGCAAAGAGCGTGGATGTTCGTATGCATAAAGAGATTTTTTACAGTTTACACGTGGCGGAGGGAAAATACGGGGCGTATTAAACGGATAGGATTAATCTGGTAGGATTGGCGGGTATTAGGAAAAGATTAGAGGGTTACGTGAGGAGCGAGGTATGTCTTCGATATTGATTTTTCGGAGGAATCGTCGTGGTAATAACGGCATTAAACTTATCCATCCTCGGCGGTGTGTTGCGTGGACGATCGTATCCCACGGCACGCGGCTATTGTGCCGCCATTAATCACAGCCGCGCGCACAAAAGGATCCTCCATCCTCCGCAATCTCATTCCCGATACGTATTCTCCATCGATGCCGCGGAAAGAGATGCGAAACGCTGAACAAAAGCATCGGCTTCTTCCGCACATTTCTTCGCTCGCCTACGCGAGATTTCATTTTCCCCTACGCTACCCTTCTTTCGCACCTCCTAAAGATCCTCCTTTTCCTTTTTCTTTTTTTTCCTCTCCTCTTCCCTCCATCCCAATCCGATGCAAAGAAGGATCGATGACAACACATCCGTGACAATTGTCGAAAGTAAGCGATGCCCACGCGACGAATTAAAATTCAGTTGCAAAAGACTTGGTGTGTTGCGAATACACGTTGAATGATTTCTTTCTATTCTCTCGATGTTTTGCATGTATGTACTTAACACAAGACTATACGACATAACGGATAATAGAACATTAAAACGTTACAGTGTAATATAAAATACATAAAATAATTCACTCTACGATATTCCATTCCACAGTCTGCGTACTCGATGTTTCCTGTAAAACGAAATTATATAAATTATATTTTGTTCGGAATTTACTCGTACTGAAAACTTTTGCGACTAACTGTACACTCTTATGTCGTAGCTTAACGGATCTATCCAGTCCCTCCCTCCCTCCCTCCTCCCCTCCCCTTTTTTTTCCTCCCCTTCTCGATCTTCCCCCACTCGAAGAAAACCTCCTCATTAAGTTCGTCGACAACAATTGCTGCAAAATATATCATCCCCCTCCTCGCGAAACATTTTATATCGTCCCTCGATTTTTTTTTCCTTCGACGAGAATCCAGCCCACGAATATCGATTTCAACCCTTTCCATCAGCGTAATGAACTAAAGGTTAATTCAGGTAGCTGCGTGGGCGAGGTGAGGAAGAAAGGCAGCGGGCGAATGAAAGGCGCTATTTTTTTCTGCCAGTTTAAAACTCGGGCGTAGCCGTGAGTTTTTCCTTTTTCCTTTTCCTTTTTCCTTTTTTTTTTTTTCCCTTCCTTCGAGCTGCAACACTGACGCTGTATTTCCCCGGATTTCGAAATCGCGAGAAACGATGGCTGGGATCCGAGAAAAACGGGGGGGGGGGAGGTGTATTTCGACTCGGTGAGCAGGCCGAGGCGAGCAATAACAGCGATCGCAGACACTCCTTAACGTTTCTCAATCCGGATGCATCGAGGATGATGAGGGGCGTCTCGTCTCTCTTCGCTGCCTTCGCTTTTCCTCCCCTTTCTCTCTCTCTCTTCGCAAAAGCGGATTATTATTGTTCCCCGCGTGCCTGTGTGTTGAGAATGCCATTTATTTATTCTCCATTTTTCGAATCGTCGTTCATTTAACGCGAGTAATTACGAAACGCTCCCAATCGAATATTTTTCCAACCCTCCCCCCTACTTCTCACTCGATTATTCGATTATATTAATTGTTCCTCCGTCTCGGCTAACTTCAACTTTCAACCAACTTGCTCGCGCAACTTGTCGTGTTTGGAAATAATTAATCTCTCCTCCCTTGCGTTCTCCTTTCTTTTTTTTTTGGTTAGAGAGAGAGAGAGAAAGAAGGAAGGAGGAAGAAAAGGAGTCGTTGTGGCGATTCGAAATATTATCGAAAATACGGGATCCAGGCGTCGAGAATCTTGCTGCCGTTCCCCGTTGCCGCCTTTATTCTCCATTATGCTCGGTTCATTGTTTCTCGAACAAAAGACGATTCTCCGTGGCGCGTACTTGTGCCGGGAGCTCAGACTGGAACGAGCATCTCAGATTTTATGAATGAATAAATCTAATTGGACGCTTATTACGGGACGCCGTTTCAGGCCTCGAAAGGCTAAAATTGCCGGCCTTTTAACCAAATTGCGCGTCCTTGTCCTTCTTTTTTTTTTTTTTTCCTTTCTTTTAATCATCGATCACCTTCCGCGAGGTTTCCATCTTCAGTTCGGAAACGGGACTTGCATCGATCCGATTGAACGGACAGCAGAACTTGGAAGAAATTAACTATGACAAAATTAATAATTATTCGAAGGAAATAGTAGGTATAGTCCCGAGATAAAGTCGACTTTATGTAACGGGTTATGTCGTCCATTCGCGACCAAGCCTCTCCTATTATTAGCCGACCAATTTTCTAATGGCTCCGATTTGCCTGATTTGACCACGATCCAAGAATCGACAACGCGTTGCCGCGCCTACTCTAAACAACCGACTAATTCCGATCCTCCCTTCCTATTCCCAATTATCTCCCAAATTATACGCTTTCACTTTCACGTTGAACATTTACCAATCGCCGATTCGTCGTATCCTTTGTGCGGAAGAACAAAACTGAATCGCTTCGTATGGAACACGTTCTAAATCGAAGCGTTGCTCAATTTCCAATTTCTTTTTCGCGGAAGAAGGAAAATAATTGTCGAAATTTAATAAAAAAAAAAAAAAAAAAAGACGCAATGAGAGGAGAGGATATTTGAACGAGTTCAGCGAGGATTAAAAGGATAAGAATAATCGTGTGGTGATTTCGAAGAAATATTCTTCTAAAGCCGGTGCAATTATTGCTTCGTTTCGGCGAAAATAGGAGGAGCACGGCGGGCGAGGAGAGAAGATTAATTCCGTGGGATCGTTGATCACTGCCTGCCACACGCCTGCCGTTTTGCGAAACGCGGGAACAAAAGGACACTCGCGATAGGGAGAAGCGAAATCGGCCATTAATCACACACGTTCGTCCACCGTTCCTTCGCTTCTTCGCGGCGACACTCCGCTGTTTTCAACCGCGCCTCCTCCCCTTCTTCCTCGCCCCTTTCTTCCCATTCACGAACACGGCGCGACACAATGGAAATCGCGCAATATTTGCACGGCCATTCATTTTCTCGCGCTTATCTCATCAGCTGCTTTTCCACAGATGGTGGACACGCGGGTCGAAAGGCAGTCAATCGCGACTACCTCTATGCTCTTATGCTTTAATTTCATCCTTAGTATCGAAATTTCTAATTGGCAGACAGAAATTCGCGACACATTTCGCTCTCGGATGTTTTTTTTTTTTTAATACGACGCGACATTCGTTAAAGCGAAAAGCACTTTCTTCCCCATCCTCTTTTTTTCTTTTTTTGTTTCACCATCTGTATGATCCGCGGGAGTAAAAACTTTTCGCGAAACAAGCAACTATTTTCGCTCTCCCCCTCTTTTTTTCTTACATCTGAAAATCGAATCTTATTATTAAACACGTTCCCGTATCAACCGGGATTTATTTATACAGGATCTGATCCCTAATCTTCGCCTGATCCTCTTCCTTGATTAAAAATATCTTCCTCGTCTAACGCTTGTCCTGCGAGAAAGAAGAAGCATTCTTTCTCTCCAGAGAAAGCATGGAAAGGAGAGGGAGAAAGAAATTGAAGAGGCAACTTGTTCTCCCCGCACGTCGAGGCGAAATCCTTGGGAAGCGGAAAAAAGGAAGAATGATAATACTTGGAGCGAAGCATCCAAGAAAAAGCATCGCGCGACGTTTTTCCTCCACGACCGCCCCCTCTCTTTCGAGCGTGCGAAGGGGGAGGGAAGCTGCGTCTGCCCGGATAGGGGGATGATTTAGCAACCCCTCTTTCTGGTTCCGCGGAAGGGTGGTGGCCTGGTTGAAAACCAGGTTGAACGAACCCTCGCCAACCCACCTACGTACGCGCGGTGGATCTACATGAGAATGAACGCGACCGCCTTCTGACCGTGCTGGGACGATGATAAATGGTGCCCTTTTCACGCCCTCCCCACACGTTCGTCCGAACTGGACCAGCACCGCGTGAAAATTATACCCCCATAAAGTGTCAACCTCTTATCATCCCTCGACGACGAGTGGGACACGATCGAAGAAATCTTGGCGAGAAAATGTTGCCGCTTCTCTCCCCCTTTTGATTTATAGCCTCGATATAATATCTGGCCCGAATGATACTAATGGATTTCCGTAACAAATTCTTCTTCTTCTTCTTCGATATCGCGATACCCATCGTCGTGATATCGTTACCCATTTCTTCGTTGTAATGATGTTCCTTCTGACTGGATTCAGTTATTTTTTTTTTTTTTTTTCTATAGATATCTAGATAGGAAAGATAGTTATTGAAAGGTAAATTAATTGTATGCGATTAATTTCATTCGCTGATATTAAGGATAAATAATTTCGCACGTTATTTTATGATATGATATCGAGATCGAGACATATTGTGTGTATGTGTGTGTGTATATATATATATCAAGGTTTCACGGGAGGCCAGCTGTGAAAGATTGCATCGATCCATCATCGATTAAATTTATTTGTCTCCATCCGGTTACCTTGACTATCGTTTTTCCATCGCTCGAAGATGATCGAGCACAACGTATCGAGTCATCGTGTTGCTTAATGACTCCTTCACAACCCGGTGACCAAAGAGCGCGAATCTTGAGCATCCTTGTGCACAACCATTGATTAATCCATCGATTAGGATGCGATTATCGGCTAAAGCCAATGAATCATCTTTCAACCGGTGCAGAACGATTGGACATGGATGTAACGGGTCATGGATGTATAATTATCGATAAAAGATTAACGTCAGCAACGAAGAAATAGCGGTTCGAGAATAGCGTAAATATCTAAATTTCTAAATTTGCTCGATCAAATCTATCGTGGATCAAATATCATGGAAGCAAGTGTGGCAAGTGTTTCCGAGCCCTCCCCCCCTCTTATCCCCTAGTTTCCCAAAAATAGATCAGCCTCGCGTTAAACGCGTTTATTTTCGCTTTAATTGGCCTCATCCCCGGATTTTCATTAACTTTAATTCACGACGTGTGTGTACATATAATTGGCGTCGTCACAGCCACGATTCGAGCGGAAAGATTGGCCGACAATCCCGAGGCCGAGACACACTGGCAAAGTTTCCAGACACAAAGCAAAGGATGTTTCGCGATGGATCTTTCTCTTTCTGTTTGCAGGGAACGAAACTATGGATTATCATGGAGTACTTGGGCGGCGGCTCGGCCCTGGACTTGATGAAGGCCGGTAACTTCGAGGAAATGCATATCGCGGTGATATTGCGCGAGGTGCTCAAAGGGTTGGATTATCTTCACAGCGAACGGAAGCTCCATCGCGATATTAAAGGTGCAACGGGAAAAAATTTAAAAAAAAAAAAAACAAAAAACAAAAGAAACAAAGGAAAAGATTAATCTGCTCTTTCAAAATTTGTGAACAAACTGAACGAATATTTTTTCTTTTCGTTTCCTTTCTATTTTTTTTTTTTTTTCGCCTCCTTCGACTCTCCTTTCAACTAACTTTCAATCCCGTTGCTTTTCAAGCGGCGAACGTTTTGCTGAGCGAGATGGGCGACGTGAAGCTAGCGGATTTTGGCGTTGCCGGACAATTGACCAATACGACCAGCAAACGAAACACATTCGTCGGGACGCCGTTCTGGATGGCACCGGAAGTCATCAAGCAAGCTTCCTACGATTCCAAGGTAATCGTTCAGGTTATATATCCCCGAGTTTCTCGGAGTTTCTCGGCGTATATTTCATTTTACTGTTTCTCTTCTCCCTACTCGAGAACATTACTCGCGAGCCCGTACAGTCCGGTCACGTATACCCAGAGATTTAATTTTATTACCCACCTCTTGACTTTCCATCTTCAACTCTGCTTACCTCTGTTTTACCTTTACTTTGACGTTCCTTCCCTTCCAAACCCTTTTTTTAAAATCCGACTCCTCTTCACGCAGCAAAATCATTTAAAGATCCATCATCCATCTATATATATATATATATATATTTCATAGAAAAAGAACAAAAAAAAAAAAAAAGAATTATAACCGTTAAATCGATCAAGGAACGATCGAGATTTGCATTTTAGAAAAAGATTCTTTAGAAATCTATCCGATCCGTTACGCATCCTGCTGACCTCATATATGCATATATCGCTGTGAAACAATGTGTGAAAAGATGCGGAGAACGGTAGCTGCGATGATTATCGCTCGATTAACACCTCTTTCGACCTCTTAAAACGAAGGCTTGTTTGTGGCAGGCTGACATTTGGTCGCTAGGCATCACGGCGATCGAATTGGCCAAGGGAGAACCACCGAACAGCGAGCTGCATCCTATGAGGGTACTGTTTCTGATACCGAAGAACAATCCGCCCCAATTAACCGGAAATTATACGAAGCAATTCAAGGAATTCGTCGAGGCCTGCCTCAACAAGGATCCCGAAAACGTGAGTTCGATCATCATCCGGCGAGATTGTCCACGCGGCCGTTTCGTTGTTTATTAATTTTCGCGCGCGTTCTCTTCCCTCCGAGACAAGAATTTTCTGAATTGGAGCAAGAACCGTTTGGCGGAAGTTGTATAATAATTCTCCTAATTATCCGTTTCCGTTCTTGCGTTTCAGAGGCCGACGGCGAAAGAACTATTGAAGTTCCAGTTCATCAGGAAGGCGAAGAAAAACTCGTACCTGATCGACCTCATAGACAGATACAAAAAGTGGAAGTCGCAGAGAAGCGAGGAATCCGAGACGGAGAGCGAAAATTCGGACTCGTAAATTTCCATTTTCGTCGAATATTTTTTATCCTGCAGGGTGTTAATACAACTCTGTGTGCGGAATTCTTTGAAGGATTGATTCTACGGTGTCTGCTAATGAAACGAATGCTAATGAAAAAGGCTTATGCGGGATGGAGATAGAACGAGATGCTACCGTACCGTCTCTCACGCCAACGTATTCAACGTAGAATCAACTCTTCAAAGAATATAATATTTAACAGTATATTCAAAGTGTACTCGATTCGAAGAATACGATCGAGCTCTGGTTCCTCTTTCAGGGAAGAGTCGAAGCAGGATAGCGATATGGACGATCCGTGGATAATGACGGTGAAAGGTCCACACGTGGTTAAAGGACCCGTGGTTCCTATGCTACCGTTGGACGAGCAGCCACCCTCGTTGACCCTCACACACACGCCGAATCACAGATCGACGAATCACAATCAACAAGCGAAGCCACACGCGAACGGTACCTCGAGATCTCCGCCAAACGATTCAACGTTGAATCATTACAGGAGCGAGTCGAGGGACTCGGTTCGCGATGGCCAAGCGAAGCATACGCCGGTGAGTTGTAAAATTAAATTCGATCGAAAAAAAAAAAAGAAAAATAGATGACTCGACTTGTTGTTGTTCATCTGTGGATTCGTTTTACCATTCTTTTTTCTCTCTCCTTGTTTAATATCGGTGATAATTTAATCGTCGGCTTTCAGTCCCGACCGCACGAGGCTGCGCCACCGCCGCCCGTGGATACGCGAGAAAAACGAGAGGACCGAGACTACCGCGATTTCAATCGGGATTCCTCGTTGAGGGAATTGAAGGAGATGCGGGAGAGCAGGGAGAGCAGGGACAGGGATAGAGAAGGGCGGGACAGGGAGAGGGAGAGGGAGTTTAGCGCGAAAGAGAAGAGGAACAGTAAACCGGACGTACCTGTCGTACCTATGGTGGACCATAGGCCCGGTGAAGACAAACAGAGGCCAAGGAGCTCGCAGGAACTGAAGCATTCTCGAAGCGCGGCTCTTTCCGGTGTTGTTTTACCTCTCCTGTCCGAGGTAAATATTTTTTCTAGAGAGAGAGAGACAGAGAGAGAGAGAGAGAGAGAGAGAGAGAGAGAGAGAGAGAGAGAGGTAGTCGAGTAGAAGAAGT